AGATTTTATTTGATAATTTTATATAACAATAACTTTAAATCTAAAACTAATAATAATGTTAAATTCAACATGATTAGCTAAGATAATTATTTCATAGAGAACATATCTGTCTCATAAATGATAGTTTATATTGTGATTCTGGTGTCCCGAGAGGTTTGTGTAATATGTAAGAAAGGTACTGCATTTAAATAAAACCGTATTTGCGATGACGTGGTTTGAGTTTAACTGAAATTCCATAAGTAATGGTCTGACGTGTGCTAATTGTAATTGACGTAGTATCGTGATTTATCCTATCTCACAAATAGAACAAAGTATGAAAAGCCATCACTTTGATTAAGGTCTCTACTTCAAACTGTCACGCAAACTGTCCAACTTCCCAGACGTGTATTAACCAAGCATTAAATGTGCATACCTTTTAAAGAACATAACGCAAGAAATAATTCTTTGCGAAGGCTTTTGTTTAATTTTGACATACTCCTCGCTGTTATACCATTATCGTGTCATGACCATTCTTTTACACGGCCTCTGCTAAATGATTGAACGCATACGACGGTTTTAACTTTACCACAAGTCCAAAGTGCATGCTGTTTATTTTGCTATATAAACTGTGTGCTCTAGAAAATTTATTTGTATTTAGTTGAGATGAATATGCCAAGTTCCTTATTTAGAAAACTCAGAATTTCGTAATATGAATTTCCCTTGGCGAAATTTCCATTGTTAGAACTTATAGAATATTCTGTATATTTTTAGCTTTGATGTTTAAACTGAAAGTGTAAATTGATTCAATGTAAGATATTCTCTGAAATCAGTCGAGTTGAATAGTATAATACAGTGGTTCATCGATGCATACACAATTCCAAGCGTTATATTAGTATAGTCTAGTGCACCCACGTTAGAGTTGCGTCTTTATTAGATTTATATGAAGTATCATGGATAAAATACATTTTGTTGGTCGTAAGACCTACCATACCATAAACGTGTAACTAGTATTTTATTCAGATATTATGTACAACAATGTTATAACAATATTATGTTAAATATAAACTCATATGTATTTTTGATATGTATTTTTTGGTAAATTGAAGAAGTTACTCAGCGGCATCACCACTAAACTTGAATAAAATTATTTGTTAAAACCTAATAAGAACAGCGACAAAACATACTTCAATTTACCCTTCAATGGCCCATAATATTATATGACTTATCTGAGTTTTAAAAATTATATAAAAATTAATCAGATTATATTTAAAACATAATATTAAATTGATTGATAATGGGCTATGTAAAAAACCTGATACATTTTTTGTTATAAATAAATAAAATTATATTATCTCCGATTTTTCATTGTTTATTTGTATTACATTTTTTGGATTGTATTAATAATAAATTCTGTTTGAGTTTTTGAGGAAAGCGTTTTTAAGTTAAACATTTACTACGTTTTTCATTGCGCAAATATTTTACAACCAATGTGCCAGATAATGTAGCTTAACATACATTTCCATTCGCCTATAATTTAATATACCTATAGAATAACATTATAATATTATTGTTGTTTGCTATATTTCCCATCGATGTCCCTTTTATTTTTTACTAGCCAAGAAGCCTCTACACTAAAATAAATAATTTGTTAAGGCGCATTGAATAAATAACTTTTTAATCAAATTTAACATTAAGCCAACATTTGTAAGCATAACTTGTTTATACATTTACAAGTTAATTTACGCGTTCATAAAATATATGTTACCACGGTATCTATTTAAATATTTTATTATATTTTCAACTTTTATAACGCATACTATTTTTGAGCAAAAAGATATTATGTTTATACTTTTCCATTATATTTCCCATCGATGTACCTACTATTTTTTACTAGTCAAAAACATGTGCACTTGTCTGGCTATTGTCGGCTAATTGTCTATCGAACATGCTTACGTATCATAACATAAATAAAATGTAGGACTATACACAAATTTAAAAGAGGATACTTGTATACATACAGTACTGCACAATACATTATTGTATTATGCAGTATGCAATGGTAATGGAATTCAACAGGTTGCAGTATGTTAATATTGTAATACTAGAAACCCTCCGGGATAATGGACGTGTAATCTCTAACTAGCATGATAATATACAGCATTAATGATCAGTAATATAACAACCCGACAAGTGGCATTGTTAGTGGAAATTCATTCAAGTCTTTGTTTGTACTTAGTGACCGATGAATACGATTTAATATTACCATGTGAATAGTCAAGGGTCTAATAACAAACAAAAAATCATAACATCAATCTAAAAAGCGGCCTGACGCATCTTGTTATAAAAAAAGTAAAATATGAAGGTAGGTAAGCTTTATTATTGCAATAAAACCTTTGCAAAATGTTCTAAATATTAATAGTATTAGACGTTTGTAAAATAAATTGGTATAAGATATGCAGCTTACTGGTCTTGGGATTGTTTTGTTTTTAGTATTGCATATTGCACACCTAGATCAAAACTGTAATAACTCAAAAAGTGGGTATTTTTAGTTATTTTTATATTCGGATTCTACAAACAAAGTTGCATGAAACAACAGAACAAATTTAAATTTATCTTGATTATTCTCTAGAATATGGCGCTGTAGGTAACTTTTGTAAAAATGACTAATCACATAATTGCTAACTACTAAAACCATTTAAATCTTTCTGCCCAGACATCAAGCGGAGTGCACGTACATTGGTTGTACAAAACTGTTTTATTAAAATAATTAGTTAAAGTTTAATTAACAAGTTAAAGTAATTAAACTTGAAAACACTATTTTGGGGATTCCTGAAAAAGGTGTTTTTTTTGAGTTTCTACAGTTTTGATCTAGGTGTGCGATATGATATTTAATGTATACGTATTAATATATTGTTTTTAATCCTTTCAGAATACTTTATGGCATTACAAGGTAAATACAGCGTAGTTATTACTTTTTAATCTATATTTTTATGAAATAAATTCTTTGAGTTAATAAGCAGGCTTATTGTATAATGTTATTAAAAAAAGAAACGCTAGAATATGATAGTATACAAATTATATTTAAAGGGTACATATTTTATTTGCTTATTGCTAGCCTCGAGGGTGACTTTTAAAAGTCAAATAGCAACATCCGTAGATATATGTCGATTAATATATTACAAATAATACCGGGTCGATAACCAAATTTGTATTAATACTTTCTTAGTTTTTAGCGGTTAAAGTTATTGGAGACGAGTGGGGTGTACTGTTATGTTATTTTTATTTGTAAGATTATTTTAAGTTTAAAAAGGAAATTAAATATATAAAATTCTATCTCACTTTTAAAATTGATCCTTTAAAAGCACCCTTTAAGTAAAATGTTTACATTAGGTATCTATTAAATCTATTTTTCTGTTTATAATATAATATTATACAATTTTAATTTTAAAACATTTTAACTTAAAGAAATTATTAGCTGTCGATTTCATGAATGTTGATCGTATCTCTTCACACGAATTGTGAGAATTAAGTTATGTTTCGAATTTTATTTGAAAATATTTTTAATAATTATTACAATAACATATATGGAAGTCGTCTGAAATGAAACGTCTGAGATCCGTCTTCTACGGTTCCAGGATTAACAACGATTTAATTAAATACCATTCATTGTCGTTGTACTGAAGAAGAGCGCGAAGAATGTACATTGTACTGGGTAATGGAACTTTAATTACGCCCAAACGAAATAAAAGCGTAACCCTCCTACATTTACTTTTGCGAAAAACATAGGTATAAATATATATATATATATATATATGTATAGATGAATCATTGGAACATTACTGAAATTACGACAAAGGATTTTACAGCTCGTCTCATTCTCTAAAGTCTTAACACAAAACTAAGTTTTGATTTCAAGGAATGTCAGTTGCCATATAAATTCAACGAATGTACCGTGTACTATAATAATTTCACAATTCTCTTTTCATATCATACAACTAATAATTAAGATGTGAAATTAATAACGCAGTACGTAAACAACTTTTCTTCATAATATACAGGTATGTAAGAGAAATGTAATATATTGGAAATCCCTTTTGTATAGGTATTGCATTCCTTCTCAGATCACATGGATAATGTCGGCGAAAACTATGATATGCTTTTATGTTAATTATACCTCTTGAAAATGAACAATATTTAACAACCAAACTTTCATTTATTAAATTTGTTGTCGAGTTGTTATTTTTAGCAATATAAGCAAAATTCTAGTTGTAAAAATGAAAAAGGCTGCCTCGGATTAAAAAGGTTGTACAGACAATTATATTTATTATCAGGAAAGCGTTAAAAGTTTTAATTGCATTCTATATTACGTATACATCGCGAATACGAATTAGACGAAACAAGAATTTTACATACATTGTAACAGGTATAACTGAGGAAATAAAAAAAATCCAAGTGTGCCACGGGACACGCGGAAGAAGTTTAACTTAAGTTTTCAATGTGTTATTGACATTATTAAGTATTACTAGGTTTTAAATATTTGTAGTTGAATAAATTGCAAATATTGAATTATTTATTCAAGCCGATGCTCTCTTATACATTCCCCTTTCGTTTTTGCTTCATGTTTAGGTTGTATTTCATTTCTACTATCCATTATATACCTACAAGGGCTTGTATACAAATCTTTTCACACGTTTTGCTGCTTCGTTGTTATTTTATATGTTGTTCATTGATGTTTATTTAGCTAGCCCTACAATAGATTGTGGCTGGGTAATGTTTTAGCATAATGAAAATATATAGCTAAATCCTCGTTAAATACTAAGATACTGGCATAAATCAAATTGAACGTTGAAGGACAGTTGCTGACTTACACGCATTATTTAAAAATGAACAAAAATAATACAAATTACTTACATGTGTTGGCTTATAATACTGCAGGACTACCCCGGAATCGTTGCGGTATAAGCTTACGCAATGATTCAGGGGTAGCCCTGCAGTAGTACATTCGGTACGGATGCACTTCTGCCGTATTGAACTTTCTAGATCCCGGCAAGGAGTGTAACGTTTCTATTGTAGTCAGAATCACAACAAAAACTCTCCATACTCTATGTACATGGTGATTCTGAATTATCCTGTACATTATGATACAGTATATACGGTTAACTAATGCGTAAACTATAGGCGAACTGTAAAACTAAAAAAGTAATATATATATATATATATATATAATATTTATACGTATATACATATAAATAAAGTTATCTGTTTGTTCGGACTATTCTTCGAACTGCTACTCGAGTAAATCGGTTCAGAGTAAAAAGAGTTATCGTGTTTACAGACAAAAAAAAACACACATCTTTGTAAATTCAATACCTTCTCTTCTCCGCATTAAAGCTAAAAAGTGGTTGTTATAAGGTAAACACATTATCGTAAGAAACAAAATTTTTGATTAATTTTTTTTACTTCGATGTGATGGTAGTGTTTTCACTAATTGTGCAATTATTTGTATTTATTATTATTTGTTTGCTGTGTTTTGTTTCGGAACCTAGTTGTTTTTATGAGTTGGTTGGTTAGCCCTACGTGAACCCACATTAATGGAGACCCAAGTTTTAGAGGGCTTCCCCTCTCTCCTTAATGGACACATAGCTGGGACCAGTAAGGGGCTATTGCGATGTCGGTTCCATCAACACCGGGCGATGAGTTCGCCACTTTCCCTACGCCATTATCTACTGTAATCGTCCGCCTAGGACTTTCCGCCAGTAGGAGCTCGGGGCCCCGGGTTCGCTACACCCATAGTATAAAAATACTTTCCCCCGAGGGGTGTGTTTACGCTAAGACAGTTAATAGAAAAACATTAAGAGTATAACAAACCAATACACCAACTATTTATAGATTTTAAGCAGGCATACGATTCTATTAAGAGAAAATCGCCGTGGGAAAGCATGGAAAAGTTCGGTTTGCCATCGATATTGTTGAAAATGGTGAAAGTATGCATTAAAGAATCAAGATGTAAAATAAAATTAATGAAATTGAAAATAATTATTCAAAAGAATTCGAGGTAACAGTAGGTTTAAAACAAGGAGATGCCCTGTCACCGATGTTTTAAACATTGGATAGATGAACCCAACCAAAATTTCCAGATACTTGGGGTTGTAACCCGGGAAAATCGGCAAATGATAGGGGGGAATGAAGGAGACTGTATAGAGCAGTGATGTGCCTTAATGGGCTATAAAAACTGAAGAAGAGAAGATGATTATTATTTGTTTTATACTAAGTGTCTGTACCCACGATAACTCTTTAACCACTTATATATATTTTTTACCTTAAAATTTAAATTAAACAGCACACTATAATTTAATATCTGTTATAAAAAAATCGTGTATCCAGGTTAATATTATATCTATGTTAAAATACACACGTCTTAAATCTAAAACACGATAAGATCATGTTTTTATCGCTTTCATTCAGCATAATAAATATTTTTTATTTTGGGAAACAAGAATCAAATGATTAATAATTTATATTTAAACCGTTTATGAACTAAATAAGAGTTCATAGTTTTAACTATTCATATTTTTCTAATATTAAATGTGAATTAACATAAAAAATGTTTAATGGAAAAAATCCTAATTATGTAATTTTCGCTTCACTTATTTATATAAAAAATATAAACAAAAATGTATTAAACATTCCTTGTCACCGGTTTTAAAAAAGTTGGGTTTTCGTATTATAATTATTATATTTCAATAATTAAAAGTGGACATTTTGCAGTTGGATTTTTAAATAATATAATATTAGACTAATCAATATCATGTTACTTACATGTGCTGCATAAGTCGCTTGAACATAGAAGGTGTTGAAGATCTTCATCAGAAGATTTGAGCGCAGTTATTGCCATTTAAGTAACTCTAAAATAAAAAAATATATTTACACGTTAAAGTATTAACAATACAAGGTGAACACTTGATCGTAAATACTACATTTTTGTTAATCATAACAAAATAATACAACAATACAATTGGGGGGGGGGGGTTAATTTTTTGAGATTAAACATAATAGTTCTATGATAATATATTTTATATCATACATTTGTCTTGTCTCTATTTTATATCATAAACGATAATAACGATCAAGCTAGAGATGTTGGGTATAAGCATTTGCATAATCTCACCTACAGACTACTATTTATTATTGACCGACTACCGTCGACAAACGTTTTAATAATTGTTTTATTTTATAACATGTTTTTAAAAAGTATTCATATTTCAAAAAAAAATAGTTATCCTTTTTCATTTTTTGTAATTTCGAAACGAAAAAATAAGTACCACAAAAAGTCTAATCAACTCTAGTAAAATGATGGGCCTTATCATAAATAAAAACAAAACTAAATATCTAGTAATGTCCAGAGGTGTGGTAACAAATCAAACCTGAAAGTAGAACCATATTACTTTGAGCAAGTGAAAATTTTAAATATTTTGGAGTTAATATTAATGATAAGAATAATATGCATAACGAGTACAAATAAGAATAAGTGCGGCACTGTCGGACACTCGAATAGTCAAAAATTAAAAATATTTTCATTTTTTTCTTCCGTTATTTAATTATTGTTCCCTACTGATTACTAGCTACCTACTGTAAGCATGGTGCAGTTAGAGGGACACGAGGGCTAAAAATGTTTGGAAATATTTTTTAACTTCTCTGGACTTTTAAAATAGCCCTTAAGTAACAATTTAAATTTTTCTGAAATGTTGAAAGCTTTATTAATATTTCTTTCTAAAATTGTGCTACACTGTCTCAGTAACCAACGGCGGAGCTAGTTAATTAATATATTCAAGCTATCAACATATTATCTTCAACTTGGAACTCAGAATCTAGTGTAAACTAAAATGCATAAAATGTCAAATGTTTAGGTATGATATAGGATAAGGGCAAGAACAATGATTTAAGGCCTACTTTTAAACGTTTTTTGTACTAATAGTTTATTATAATATAAAAATATAATAACTGTACGATTAACCTTACGTTTGTTATCAGTAAAATAATTTAATATTTAAAAGATAAATTATATTGTGTTACTTACCATGTTTTTAGCTCCAGAGTTTATTTAATTCACGAAGGCAAACTATAAATACAAAATAATTCAAAAGTTAAAGCATGAACAGTACAAAATAAATAATTTATCGTTATAAATGTTTTCATGATAACAAATTAATTTTCTGACACTTGTGTGTCTTGCCCACGATAATTTTTTATATAACATTTCCAGCTAAAAACTATGGTATTTTTTAAAAATATAGAAAAAAATAATTAGGTAAACCAATTTTTTGGACAACGGTATATTGCGCCTATCAATTTTGTCTACCTGGAATATGTTGGTAAATTGTATAGGGTATAAGTGTAGTTTACAGATAAAATCAAAAATTAAAACGTACAATGTTGTAAATTTCCAAAAAATAAATATTGATAATGATTAAAATATTTGTTACCTATCATTAAGGTTTGTGATAAAACTAAATTTATCTATGATAATTTATGGAGTATAACATTATCAGACTCAAAATGGTAGTCTCCGATAGGAGACACTTTTCAGTGCCGTCAGACATCAAACAAAAATATAATAATATATGTACGCTTACGAAATGTTACTACATGATCATGTCGTTCAATACTTTAAAAATAAATGACACGTCATTAAACTAACGTCTACAAGAACTCTCCTCTACTCATTTGAGTAACTTTTGTTTTAAATTATTAAAAAATATTTAATACTTACAAATGTGACGACCTCTCTCGCAGCTTGCAAACGTACCACAAGCTCAAAGCTATTGGCTAAGGTCCGTGATCGCATACTATAACAACGTCAAGCGCTAAAGTCGGGCAACGGCGCAGCATACGTTTACCCGGCTATAGTAAACCATCAACCCTCCCTATCCCTCTAAACTATCTCTACCCCGGCAGCGGGAGATGCTAGGCGTACCGGACAGCGAGGATCAATGCAAAGCCCGGCGGCGTCTGCGAGCGGGGCAGAAGACGTGGTTGAATAAACATAGAATTAACATTAAAATTACGTATCGCGTTTTTCTTTTGTAAATAGTTATAATTGATTTCTCAATAAACGATTTAGGCGGCCCCGAGGTAATGCTTAACAGCGGGTTCCGGAGCCATTGTTCCTTGGCTTTTGTGGTTCACCCCGGAGGCGGCCTCGACGACACACTTTAGTCGCCTTTTACGACAGGCGTGTACACCTTGGAAGTATTCTTTCTCCCCTATCCACAGGGATAGTCTACGATTCAAACATAATTTTAATATCCGTTAATTATTAATAGAACCGTAAAGGATAATTGACAGGGTCATAGCCAATCGTGCGGTACCTTTATTAACTCATCGTTTGCGAACCCCGTTTAACAATAAACACCATTTGATCCTGCTCGCTGACTATAACAGAGTTTAATATTACGGTGCAGCTCTGTTTTCGACGTTACAAAGTCAACACAGTATGTTTATTTACAACTGAACCGTATAAAGTATAAAGGCACTGTTCCGTGGATATATTAGGTCGGTCGTGTGGTTACCGTCAACTATATAGACCGCTTAGCTAATTTAATGCATAATGTAGGAGCTGTGCATAATTAAATAAAATCTTTGACTACACAGTACACAGGTAAAGCTCATCCAACTAAAAAAAAAAAAATACCTTCTACGTTTCATGTATGTACTTTACAAAGTCTTGTGATTCCACACACCCCTAATTTAATTTTTATCTCAACATAAAGAATAAAGAAAATTGCTCAATTTTGGCCCTTTAAGTGCATTTTTGTGCATACCAAGGCGTATAATATAATACTTTTGTTGCACTATTTTTTCATTGCCAGATATAATTCGGGAACGCTTTAAAGTAGAAACATTTACCGTTCACGAGAATTTCGAAATTGAATCTGATACAATGTCCAATTTCTGTTTACATAAAGGCTGATTAGAATGTTTAATTTTTTCAATTGTAACTTTAATAACCAATGAATAAAACCCTAACTATTTTTAAATTAAATTTGCATAACTTATACCGATAAATAATGTACAGTATATTATACAGTATTAAACTGCATGTATGTAAATGGACGTGGTAGTTTGCATTACAAATCAATTGCCTTAATTCAATTAAATATGCACCAATGGTTCACGCATCATCGAATAAAGGGATTAAGCACATTCTCATTTCAATGCTGGGAATTTGCACCGATGCACACATAATGAACTAACCGCTCGCATATATTATTATGTATTTTTTTACAATTTTTAACAATTCGTACATTATAATATTGGAAGCGTTACTATACGCATAGCATTGTGCAAGATTTTTAACAATGGGAGTTCCATATTATATTGTTATAGTAGGGTAGCTGTAAATGTAATATTATAACAGCAAGTAAAAAAAAAATATATAGATTTTTTTCTCGATGGTTCACAATAAAAGAGTTGTTACGTTAACAAACGCGTTCATGCGAATTTTATTCATTTTATATTGATGGAACAGCAATTTTCTGTTAGAGAATTATAATACGCTTCAATAAAATCTGCAACAGAAATATTCTACAATAAATTAATACAAAGCAAAATGCAATAAATGCAACTTAGAGGTAGGGCCGGATCTATGGGGTCAAATGAGAGAAATGCGTAAAACTTTATCGACATTTTTCAAATCTAAATATGTGGATACTAAAAATTCAATCCTTCTTTTCAAATTTACGTTTTAAACGAAAATAGCAATACCATCAATAACGAATTAATTGAAAATAAATTGATAGCGGTGGCGTAAAATGATCATAGTCAATAAAGCCAATGTTTTCAGTATTGCAGTTTTAAATTTCCAGAGCTCAAAAAATAATTGGGAAGATAAAGTATAAAATAATGCAGATAAAAAAATATTGATCTTTAACTATATTTAATGTCAAGTATAATTAAAAAAAAAAAAATCAAATTTAATTATCTAAATTTTAGAGATAGTGGCTATGATCGTTTTTCAGTATGTAACATAAATATACCTATTTATCATGTAACCGTTCGAGGACTTGTATGAACAAACCTTATTATTAATATTTTGAAAACAAATTTTTTCCTAAACTTTTAGGTACATATTTTACTACATTTTTCAATATTTTGAAAATGTTGATCACCAATCCTTAAAGGCCAAAAAGAGAAATTTTTGTTTTTTTTTTAATGACAACATATGTTTTTAATTACACAAGTTTATAGACAAAAAATAAAAAATATGTTAGCGTTTCAATTTTGAATTTTCATTTATTTGTCCATTTGTTATGACTTTATAAAGATTTGATTTTTTGACTGTATTTCTTAATATTTTCAATCGTTACTACAAAGACGAATAGTTTTATTACATTTCATACAAATAATTTGACATGTTACCGTACTCTGTATCATAATCAGATATAATAAATAACCTATAATCTAAGTAATATTTTATAATGAATTCCTAGTTGTTAAAATGTTATCGCCAATTGGACAATGCGAACATAAATATGAATTTGATGTGCTACCGGTTTTGGACAAACCGAAGAAATATGATTATTATTAAGAGGAAATGTAGTATCTTAACAAAATCATGACTAATGAACAGATTAATAAAAATAAAAAATTTTAAAGGTAACATATTTTTACATTTTTTGTCTACAAACTTAGTGTAATTAAAAACATATGTTGCCATTAAAAAAAAAACAAAAATTTCTCTTTTTGGCCTTTAAGGATTGGTGATCAACATTTTCAAAATATTAAAAATGTAGTAAAATATGTACCTAAGAGTTAAGGAAAAAATTTGTTTTCAAAATATTTATATTTTCAGAGAAAATGAGTGTCTTACGTTAGTTGGTTCACCCTGTATATTGCAGCAATATATAATAATAAATATTATTGCTCAATAATAGTAGGTATATTATTATAAAAACTACAAAAAATAATAAAATCCTACATATTTTTCAGTTATCTAAGGTTTGTTCATACAAGTCCTCGAACGGTTACATGATAAATAGGTATATTTATGTTATATACTGAAAAACGATCATAGCCACTGTATACTCAATGCTACTATCTACGGCCGGTGATATGATGAGGGGTAGGTGGGCTCGCCGCTCGTGTGTCAATTATGAAGCAAATAACTGGAAAGTAATACTGCAACGTAATCATATTTTCAAAAAAACAGATATAACAACTATTTATTCCAGACGAAAAGACGAAAGCTAATTAAATAATTAACTCTTGGCCATTCTTCAGATGGCTAGAATGCAAACAGAAAAAAAATATTTTGTTTATTTGAAAAACGTTATTAAGTTACTTGCGAAGGTACGCGGCGGCATACCTGGGATGACACACCCCGGCGCTGTCAGCTGTCACAATCCATCCGAATATTTCAGTAATCGGGCCGCACTAACGCTCTCCACCCCAGCAATGAGTTGTTATACACATATACACAAAACTTTACATTTGGTGTGGGCCATGATCATTGAATAGCAACGAGATAGGTAAACAGTATAACAGTTTTGTTATCTCGATGTTGTATAGTGTAAAATCACCTCGTTCTTAAAAGTTAGTTAAACAAATTTTATAGCATGGTGTGCTGGTCTAAAGCCGTGACCATCAGATTTCAGGTACCTTTTTACTCATTACAAACTCAAAAATTGTATTATTATTATTACAATATTTCTGCAGATAATATTAATAATAAAGAATGAAGGAAACTCGTGATTTTTGTGATTAAGGGAGGTTATTGATCCTACACAAACCGTCAAAGAAACCTCAATTATTCTGTTCCACAGGCAATATGTACAGGAATTAAAGAAAAACATTTTAATTATAGTTTAAACAATTTGTTTTTGTTTTTTAACTTTAGTTGAATATTAGTTAAGTTTATTTTGATAAATGACACTTATTTACTCTTATCAGCATAACGACTATTATTAGTGACAATATACAACGGTTATTGAGAAAACTAACGAGTAATGTTGTAGAAAACAAATTTTTGACTAATAATAGTACATAACAAATAGTTAATAATTGATAACAAATACTGCATTATACAAATCAAAACAGTTTTCCTTAAAATTATAAAAATGTAAATAATAAGCAGTAAAATTATTTAAAACATATATTTT